AACAAGATGGAGATGGTTGATGAGGGTGTGTCAAGTGAGCTGTTCGACTCGAACAGCGTCTATATCAAGGTTATGATTGCCGAGCACAAGATAACATGCTATCTCTCTTCTGTATGAAGCATCGACATGCTCGGACGACTGACTGCACGATCGTAATCAAATCGATTCGTCTTCGACTGCCCGAAAAGGACAGCAGAAGACCAACCACCAACCTGTGTCTGTCAGGACTGAACCATACTACCATCTCGGCACTCCTTATAGAGCGACTAATATTTTCTTCCCTTGGAAACATGAGTCGCCATCCTAAGAGCTTGTCTACGGTAGAGCGAAAGGCTATTTCCACAGTTTGGAGTACGGTTAGCTAAGGCTTCGCAACCCTCACACTCCTCGAACCCTCACACTTCGAGTGCAGGAGGTTTTAAGCTTAGTTTAGATGCGGGAAGCTACCTCATCTTCCAGTGGTGCCCTGTTCTAATAGCCTTGTTCCTTCAGTTGAATTTTCCTGAGAAAAAAATCGCCCAAAATAAATCATCATTTGCCTCTAAACCGACCTCCTGAGGGAATACACTTTCAGAGGCGTTTTAGCCGAAATCGGGTCAGTGTCAAGAGCGCTAAATGAATAACTGTCCACCTGCATATTTGCACTGCCTGATTGTTCGCTGATCAGTTGACCATTTTCGTTTGTCGACGTATCAGCCATAATCATACTGCGTCTTATCTGGTGGAGACCTTTTGCCGACAGTCGAAAGCTTTGTTCAGCCTGATAAACTCGTTGACGCACATCGATGAACATTTTTTCACCCTAGAAGCAAAGAGAATGGTGATTAGGGAGCCAGTTATCAAATATTCTAATTTCAGAATGCACCGTTTGGTCGGTGGACGTTCAGAGGTGTGTCTTCACTAATATGTAGACAGCTCGAAGCTGAATTACTTGATGTTGACGTTCCACATGTACATGCTTTATTTGCTTTTATTTTTGAAACTATTGCCTAAACTGATGGCTGTTTAGGAGGGAAAGTGGGCGGGTCGGAGCGTGTCGACTTGTCCATTCCGTTCCATAGAGTGTAGTTTTTGTGAGTTTGTTTCTTTTCGGAAACTGAATTTTTGTGCGTGAAACTTTGTATTTTATCTCTAGTGATCACAACTGACATATGGGTGTTGGAAAGATTTGTGAAATTTTTTCGTGAAGGATTCCCTTGGTGCAGCACTCCCAGCAGAAGTCGTGTCAAAGAATCTGTTCGGTGGAGGGGATAGAGTAGCCTACGAGTGTCACAGTGCCGTTGTCACGGCTCGCAAGTGCTCGACAATGGAGCTGGGGTCTTGCAAAATCAGCTTTTGGCTACGAATCTTAGCATTTGGACGAGTTACGTCGCGCGCACACTCATAACACGTAATGTGGATTACGGCGTAGCAGCTAGATTCAAATACGCGCACGATAGTTGGTCATGGAGTAGGCAAGTCCGTACAACTCGTACGGCCCCGCCCCTTCCTCATTTCGAGAGGAATCCTTGTTAGGGGCTTCATCGACGGTTTTATATGATTTTTTCCACTTTAAAAGCAAAACCGTCATCCGCAACACAATTATAAAACAAACTTGCCACTCAATTGAAGTGGAGATATTACTTTAACAGCCGATTGACTCAACTTGAAATATATTAGAGGGAAACTCTTTTGATAAAGCTCCACGAAGGCTTCAACCGTTGGTGCCAATTGGTTTTTAAGAAAGCAATATGTTATGCACCGATATATCCATATGACCGAATGGCATCAGTCTTAGAGAACAACTAGCCACCAAGCTCTAAAAATAGCTGTCTGCTGAGGCCGTAGCAAAACAGGGGCGGATGCCAAGTGCACCTGATCACTTTAAGTACACACATCAGAGTTGTTGAGAAATTTTTATATATTCTATAAAAGAGGATTTTAGTCAAAACAAAATACAATGTAGCTACGAAAAAAAGAAGAAAAATCCTAGACACCTGTATTGTGAACCAACAACCTAAAATGTAAAGCTGTCAAAGCGAACCGCGGTTGCAAACACGCTTCCCTTATGAAAATGATATGATAACTATGTGTGATATCCACTGATTATTAGAGGGCCCTAGCACCATCTTCTAGAGCATACGTTCTATCTATAAACACAGAATGTATTTGTAAAATGTAGGGAGAGTATCCAGAGACGAGTCCGACCCGTGATTGCTGTCAACGTTTAGTGGCCATGAGAAAGATTACGCCGTCCTCGTCAAGAACATACTTTTTTACAGTATTGAGATCGATCCCAGCTTTTGCCAAAGCGCTCATGATTTGCTGCTCGGTGAGGCTGAGCAAGCTGAAGATGACCTGAAACAGAAAGAACGTCGTATTTTGTCAATGGCGGTTTACGGACTACTTGATTTTTCCTCAATGGTCCTGCCGCGATGGCTAGAGGGACCCATGAGGGAGCGCTGAGGCGGTTTAAAGAGCTGAGTTCAACGTAGTCCGTCGACCGTCAATGGCAGGACGTGAAAAAATCCTCATGGTCAACGTATTTTAGTGAGGATTAAAATATTCATGCAAGACGACACGAAATGAGCAATCTTGGAAGGAGGAACTGCCTGCTTCGCCTTGTCGGTAGGAAAAACCAACGAGTTCTTTAAATCATCGAAATATGAAGTCGCTTAAAGCGAGAGATTGCGATAGGATTCTGTTGTGCTCATAGTGGAAGTGAAGATGCTGAATAATGCCCTAGTGGCGAAAAAAGCAAAGAAATCCGTCAAAAACGCGCAAAATGGGACCACTTCCTCTGCCCGTTGACCTCCGATAATGGACGAGCTAGCAACCAACTAAGAGGTCGTTTGCACATGTTAAACCATAGCACCATCACCTAGCATAGACCATGCTTT